GCACTGCGACGCCTCGGAGGGGTGTACGCTTCATGGGCTACGTTACTTCCGCACCTCCACCAGAAATGTCACGAAGGACAGGCTATGAGGCAGAATAAAACGAAAGGAAATTAAATGTTTAGGGGGAGGCGAACCTGTGCCAGTAACGTAAAACAGAACACACGTTAAGAAAGCAGCAGCGAGAGTCGACGGCAGCAGCAGCAGCAGGCTACGGTACGTCGGCGTAACAGCTGGCCAGAGATAATCGGTGAATGAATCGGCAATACGGCGCTCGGCTCTCTATCTATCTACTATGTTCGTCATCTCGAATATTCGACCTAGAATATCCGGGAAAAAGCTAGGACAAGACTGATTAGACAAGGTCATTTCGGCCTCCATATTGTTTACGATCATGGTAAGAATGTACGCGAATCTTCTAGATAAACGGAGACACGTAATCTTCTAAAAGAAAATAACAGTCTGCGTTGTGACATTGAGCACGACGCTTTACCTTGTTCGGTTCTGCAGGGCAGGCTCACAAGCGCTTTGCATCAAAGTAGACGCTCCAGTTATTTATTTCTTTATTTATTTATTGATCTTTTTGGTAAAAAGCAGACATTGAGGTGGGTGCTAATGACGGCTCTCTTCATCTCTATTCAGTGGCTCGGGAACCTTGCCACCAACTTCTGGTGGTCCGCTATCTGGATACAGGAGGCCCCGACATACTACCTTGCATCCTTGGTGTCCTCCAAACTGTTCGGAACCAAAAAATCTGTAAGCACTGCTCTATGGCGTAGCTATCTATGATTTGTGTCCTTGAGGCGTTGTTTGAAACTGAGCTAGAATTGTTTCTTCCAATTTATACTGTTTGTATTCTATAACCTGTTATTAAGCATAATGCAATTGGCACCATTGATGATAATTTGACAACTTTGGATTACCATATTTGTTTGCGTCTTTTAAATAAAATAAGCAACAAATATATGCGAAAGCTTGAAAAACTACGTATTGAAATAGTTTAATTTTATTATTATTAATGGAAATCACGGTAATGCAGGCCCCCCATAAACCCCACCATCACAAAAATACGCCATTTATCCTCAATTGTCTTTACAGAAAGGTCCCATTTTTTGTTTTTCAGAATATGAAAAACTCTGGCATCGCTCTCAAAATATACATAAACCCTTAATGTAATATAAAATCCTATGAGTCACGCCTTGCTTAAAAAACACACACACACTTGTGCCCTTGAGCTTGGATTTCATTTTTGACTTTTTGCACTGAGAACAGCATTTCCTAATTTATATGTTTTGTAAAAATTTTCGAAACTCATCAGCCGTGGCAATATTTTGTAAAATATAGATATATTTTGTTATACTTGGGAATTATGCTCAAGCAAAATAATCATCTAAATTCCCAAAAACACATTAACGGCCCCGCAGTTCATCATTTCACGTGACCATTATCTGAGCGAGAAAAGGCAGCAAGAACGCAAATATCAGCGCTGATTTTTTTTTCTTCAATAAATACAATATTTAATGATAGCTCTAAGGAGTATAAAAGATCCTGTTTTTAAAGGGACCTGAACATACCAAATCGTCTGAAGTGCTTGGATCGGAAACTTATGCCACAAAATAAAATTTCAGCAACCCATTTCTTAAACTCAAGACATACACTGTGAGTCATCTTAAATTTGGCGGGAAATCGAAATTAACACCTATATCGAGAAATTAAGTAAAAAATATAAGTTAGTTTTTGTTTCGTTCCTGAATTACAACGCGCCTTCTGGCGTAAATTTTACGTTAAACACCATTTTTGATTTTCATATAAATAGGTGACCTCTGTGCAGGGCTGCCAACACGCAAAGTCAGAATATCCGAAGCGAACGCCTGAAATTTCCCTATTACTGCCACAATTTCGCTCGCTTGCCCAAAAAATTACATAATACTAAATATTCTTTTTTTTTTTTTTGCATCACTTTCACTTTTACGATGAGAGATATATTATGTAGCCTTTACGCCACGTATAAGTTTCGCAAAAATTAGTTCATTGGGCCGAAACCGCGGCCAGAGCAAATCTGGTGAGGGGAATTGATAGCGTGAGATCCAAACTGACGAATAAAACACTGTCTTCACCTTAGATGTTATGCACGCCATCATAACATGGCACTGCTTAATAACTTCAATAGCGCTTTTCATAATAACTCAAAACAAATGATGTAACACAAGCGAGAGTTTTGGAAATCAAACACAGGGAACACGACAAAAAGTAACTACCCTTTCGTGCACGGCACTTCACGAAATATTTTTTATTGTCATGGCAAATGTGTACCTTTAGACATGGAAGTATTTCTTCGTGTACCGAGACTTTCTTTTTCGAGAAGGCACAACGGCGCTTTCAGAAGCTTCCACTTGGCTGAGCCCTTCCTCCATAGCTTTCACAAGGGCAATGAAAACGGAGGAAAATTGATTTTGCCGAAAAAAGTTGTTCGAGTGCTCCTCAGTGTTTCCCCATGGTCGCACAACAAACCGCCAAACGGCTGGAGGGAATAGACTAAATGTACCCAAAGCCGCTGAAATTCGATGTTATCTCGAAATAAAATCATAGTTGATTTATAAAATTCCGGATATATACGGTGCCCAAAATTTCCTTCAAACTAGCAAGATTTCCCTTATTACCACATAGACCTGAATATTACCTTAATCTGGGAAATTTCCCTGAGTTGGCAGCCCTGCCTCTGTACATAACACCCTAGATTCCTGGGATAGGCGGGGGGAACAATTTGGGTAGCTCAGTGAAGCCAGCACACTAGGCAGGCTCAGCAAATGGTATACAAAAACACGCGTCTCCAATCTTCACTATAACCGCCATCTTGGAAAACAAGTGGCGCCACCTACACACAGATGGAGTCGCGAGAAAAGGGGAAAGGGTTGCCGGGGCCTTCCTCCTTACTGAGTGGTTAGTAACGAGCGAAAGACCCGAATGAACGTCTTGGACGCGTGTGTTTCTCCAAGTTCGGTTGTTTTCTTCGCGGTTTGCTCTATTTCATTTTATTTACAGATGTAATTAGGAAGCGAAATCAATGACGACAATCCCCTGGTCATCCGAAGATTATTGTAACGAATAACAGCCGAAAGCGCAGAATATTATCGGAGGGCGCCTGTATCGCGCACGGGATCCACCAAGGCAACTGCGGCTGCAAATGTCTTCAAACTCCATCGCTTTCCAAATAACCGAAACCTCCGGTGGCAGTGGGCTACGTCCCTAAACGGAAAAGGCATTTCCCCGAAGCCATCGTCTCGAGTGTGCTAGGAACATTTCGTGAATAGAGCGCGCACTGAACTTACCGCGTTACCGTCAATGAACATTGGCTACGCTCGCTAGGTGGTTGCAAGTTTTCTCATGAGGATCACTGTTTCATCTTGTAACTGTTAATAGCTTAATTAATTTTAATGCTGATATCTTGCAGTGGTAAAACTGGTTCGATTTTATCATTTACAACGCTTAGTTGAAGGCTCATTTCCGCCGTCGAGTGTGGCTGGAAATTGTCGAAAAGTTAGTTCTATCGTTTTTTTTTTTTTTTTCTCTTAATCGCTACCTTCTACGCGATAGCTGAGAGCCGTGAATTTACGTTTACCATCACAACGCGACTGCGTTGTTATTATTCGAGAAATTAGTGCCATAACGTGTCGGAAAGAAAGCTCCAATTTGCATTGCTGAAACATTCATGCATTGATTTCGAATCGTCGAGTCGTTGATCAACTCCCTCCGGCAATGGTCCCATTTCAACTTCGCTGTTTTCAGTTCTAGACAAAGGGCACGCTCGTGGACACGGGATCCTCAATTAAAACTTTTACAAAGATCTGTAACCGGTGGGACCCAGCTGCCTTCGATCGTTCCCTGCGATGCTCTTATTTCGCGCGTCCTGTTTCACATTATATTTCACTGTTGTGGACGACACAAAACGCCAAAAATATTTTCGGTGTACATTCATCTAAGACAAAAGAAAAAAAAAAGACGTTTACAATCCCCTGTAACGGCGAATTAGAGCGCAGCTTTTAAGGAGGAGAATGGAAGGGAAGTGAGGGTTGAAGGTGGAAAGCCCCCCACTACTAACTAACATGGGTGTGGATCAACGTGTTCTTAACGGAAGTCGCAGAAAATGCACTTCTTTGATGAGAGCATCGTGTGTAAATGTGGCGGGAAGTTAGCGGAGCAATTTTTTCCGCTAAGTATTGCGGAAAACATTTCCCCGCTAGATTTAGTTGTTTTTTTTTTTCGCTGGTGACGTCACTGATGACGTCATCACGATGACATCACGTGACGTCACTGGTGGCGCTTGTGACGTCACGTGACGTCATCGTCACTGATAACGTCATCAATGGCGTCACCAGTGACGTCAAGCGTCCCATAATGCAACGCGCGGTTACGCCGACGGCGACGGCGACGCCGCTCAAGCCGGAAACGGGCGCTTAAGAGCTGCGCTCTAAAAATAGGCTGAAGGGAAATTCAATCGCCGTAAACTGATACGCTATTTTTCGTACTGAACTCCGATTTCCATCGGTGGCGCGTTCAGTGCCGCTCTTCTCGGCATGGCCGCACTGGCGGATGCCATAATGCTGTGCAAGCAACGTTCCCAACGGTCTGAAAAGCACCATCTGCGGCACACAAGAACACAAGACACCCTCTAATACCCCTGTCAGACGGGCACTTCAAATGACATTTACCCCAAATGACATTCAGCGTAAATGTCATTTAGGCAGTGTCACACGGGAACTTAAATGACATTCGACTTAAATGACATTCGAGCTCAACTGAGTTCGCCCAAACTCATTTACGGCTCGTAAATGTGTAGTCTCGTCAACAGCGGTCAGCGCAAGTTCCGCGAATTGAAATAAAACATTATATATAATATAAATACAATTGAAAACAGTGCTTGTAGCAATTATTTTTAGAAAAAAATGCTTATAACCTGTATATCTCGCACACCTTTTGCGATTTATTCGTTTAATATACTCGCGGTCTCAGTTGCCCAGTACCAGCCGTTGTCTGCTCGCTCGTCTGCTCGCTCGCTTACCTCGGTTGTTTAGCTTTCCCATTCCTTTTGCCATTTATCTGTCTCATCTTCTATTTCTTTTGTTTATATTTTATCATCGTTTTATAGTCTTTTATTCTTGTGTTGTATATAAATAATATTTTTGTTGTACATATATATTTTATTGTTTTAAGTCGTTTTAAGAACGCGCGCGAAGTGACACCATGTCGAACGGAGCGGGACCAGCGGGACCTTCGGCCGCGAAGAAGAGGGAACCGCGCGTAGTGTGGACTTCCCAGGAGACCTGGACGTTGATCCGGCTCTGGGAGGGCAGAATGGAGGACCTTCGACGCGCGAAGCGTAACGGAGGCGTGTACGAAGAGATTGCGGAGGAGCTGCTTCGTTGCGGCATCGTGAGGACGAAGGGCCAGGTTCACACCAAGATAGAAAATTTGACCAACACGTACCGGTAAGATAATTGTAAAGTTTCATGCACCCTGAGAGTAGTACGAGTCAGTACGGAAAATAAAAATTAAGATTACTTAAATCGTGGTTTAGATCATGATTTAAATCATGATTTAAATATCCCAGTTAAAAAATCCCATTATACATACATCAATAGCTTTGCATAAAGTTGCCATTTACTGCAATTCCATTTTTCAGAAAACACCTGAGGGAAGGGACCACCACGGGTTCCGGTGCCATGAAGTGGCCCTTCTTCCGGGACCTCAACCGACTGTTGGGGTCCCTACCGCTGAACGACACGACCCTCGTGGATGAAAGCCTAGCTTCTAACCATGCTACACCAGCAGTAGTGGAGGTGGGTTTCGTGGTTTCTCTCAAAAAAGTTTCCGCATTTTTTAATAACAAATCATTTCAATGTACAAGTGGCAGCCAGTGGCAAATGCATGAAATTATTTTGAAAATTGCCCACCGAGCAGAGTTCACCGAGCTAATCGAGGTGCTCCTCTGCTTTGGCTGCTTTTTCGACAAGCCGTTGCAAAGCGATGAAACTTTGCATGCGTGTGACGGTGCAGTGCGGTAAAGCTTGATGCAAGAGCTTCAGCTGAAGTGGAGCATTGTGGCTGCTTTAAAAATTCAAGGTTCTGCCAACTATGGCTATACTCTTGACACATATAACTATGGTAGCAATACCTAGCATTATGATTCTCAACTACAAAGCATTCATACACAGGGTTGGAGCTCCGTTACTTTTGAGTACCCCTTGTATAATGGCTTTGGGTGGCACCTAACAGCTTGCTGCAGTCTCTTGTAGCTTAACAAGAAAACTACTTGTGTGGTACTCCTCTCAGTTGCTCTCCGACATGCAAGAGAAAGGCGTGGTCGAAGTGGACTACTTCGAGGAGCCCGTCGAGGAACCGGGAGAGGAGCTGCGTGGCGAGGAAAGCCAAGTCACCAGCACCCCCGCCACTACAAGTGTCAGCAGGCCGGGGCCCAGCAGCGTCAATGGCACGAGCAACGTGCCGCCCAGGCCACAGAAAAGGAAGAGGCCGCAAGCTCCAAGCACCGCATATATTAAAACGGTGATTGATGAGCAGAGGCTGCTCAGGCAGAGTTTTGAGGCATCGAGGGCAAGAGAGTTTGCCCTACGCGAGCGGGAAATAGTCCTGCAAGAAACCGCCATCAAGGTGCAGCAAGAGCTCGCGACTTCATTGATGGCTTTCATGAATAAAAATGCCTCATAAACTGCAATGTAAGCTGTCCCGGTGTGCATTTATGCTACATTCAAGAGTAGCTCGGTGGCTCCAGAGCAGAATGTTTGCCTACGTATCCCCAGTTGGCGGGATATAATCCTGTCCGTGGTGTCTGCAATCTGACGGAGGCTTATTGCGGAGAGGGCGCTGTGTAACCAAGATTTCGGTTGTACCTCAAGGTCCCTAGGTGACCCACACTAATCCCCAGTTTTTCCTTAAGTTGTACCAGATGCCATTGATTGGTTTGGCATGAGGAGCCCCCAAATAGAATTCTTGGTATTCGATATTTGATTATACATTGGACTTTTTGCCAACTATTTGGGAATATTCAATTTCATTCAAGCTGAAATTCTACTATGTGCACACCCATACTTTTTTTCCTTGCAACTCTCGTGGAAAGCAACAGTTGAAGGAATCCCCCAAACAGGTGCTGGTATGGTATTTCTTGTACTCCAGCAGTGACCCTTTCAGATGATCTTTTGTTTTATAAGCTTTGTTTCATTGCACATAGTAGCTATGAGAGGTGCTTGAACTTATATTTGGGCAGTCAATGCCTTAAAATTTCTTAAAATTGTGTTATAAAAGCCACATGAAAGCATACAGAAGGCGAAGCATATGGACCGAAACATGAGACTTCACTTGGGACACGGGAGTTGGCAGCACGTCTTATGCTCCAAAGCCAGATTTGTTTGGCCCTAAAAAGGGCCTTTTGTTCTTCACGCACTGGAAAGGGCCCTCGTAGATGTCAAGGTCTGTGCTGCAAACAGGAGCAGCCACTTGAGCTCTTCATCTAGACCATTTGCCTCGAGCGTTGGTGTAGATAGCCCGCAATAGCGTCCCTGACGCTCTGCCCATTGTCTGCCTCAGCATCTGTGGTGCACACCGGTTGCAGATAGATCCTATCCTCCGTCGCCACGTCGCTGAGCCACTGTGGCTCGACACCGTCATTGAAATGCTCGCACACATTGTTTAAAATGCAGCAGGCTCGCACAACAAGCCGGGCATTGTCCACCTCGCACTCCATCCTCTTCATGATGAAGCGGAATCGGGCCTTGACCCTTCCGAAGGCGTTCTCCACGACTCGGCGAGCAGATGACAGCTGTCGGTTGAAGCCTTCCTGTGGAGAGTCCTTCTTAACGTCCTTGCGAGGGTACGGCTTCAGCATGTTGGACGTCAAAGGGAATGCCTGGTCACACAGGATCAGGGGCGGCACGGTGGTCCCGTTGACGGTGACCATGGGCATCTGCAGCGTTGGTCCTTGTAGAACAGCCGCCAAAGCCGACCTCCGGTACACATGTGCGTCGTGGCACCGCCCTGGTGTCCCGACGTTCACATACCGGAACCGGTAACGGTGGTCTACGAGGGCCAGCAGGATGATGCTATACCTGGATACAAACATTACAAGGCATATATCAGTTCCATGGGTGTTGAATGCTGTAGCCATACAGTCCTCAAAACTGGAGATTCAAAAGGGAAGTAGACAGCACAGCACAATTCGTTAAAACTCCGCAGAACACAGGTGTACATAGCTTCTAAACATCACATTAAGTGTAAAAAGCTGGCTATCAGTTGCTGGCACCTCATATTCAAGAATAGCTATTTCATAACCTCCATGTCATCAAACACGTGTGGCTTATATCACCATATTAAAATTTATAGGGAAAAATGTTTGGTCCAGGTACATTTTATTCAAATCGAAACCTTTGAAACCATTTGCCGTGCAAGTTTGTCTGCTTTTTGCGCACCTCGTGCATTTGTTTTCCGCATCTCGTGCATTTGTTTTCCCCCCAAATGTGCCCACACGGGTTTGTTTCCCCTCGACCAAGGACGGAACGAGTTGGCTGCCTCATCATCGCAAATTTTCTATGCGTTCTCTTCGTTGCTCTTTGCTTGGCGTGCCCCTCTTTGTTTCGATGCCTCAGACTCATTTTAGAACACTTGCTAGCAGGCAGCAACGAGTTTGCATCATTCAGTTTGGCCAGCTTCATTGAATTTGCTTACTGAGAGGAATTCACAGTCAATATTTATTAGAGAAATTGTTTTTTTTTTTTCCCTTTTTTTGTTGCAATATCGGTTTGAAAACAGATGCCCGACTTCCTAAAGGGCCAGGAAGTTCAACGTATATGGTATTGGTTCTAGCAGTCCATAGATGATCATACACATTATCCTTGAAGTAAAGGTTACCTACCAGCCCTTGTAGTTGTGGTAGTCGCTCGCGTTGACCTTCGGTGGTGAGATGGGGAAGTGGCAGCCATCCAGCGCCCCTATGCCCTGTGGAAACTCCAGAGCAGCTTGGAACTCCCGGATGTGGTCCGGAAGCTCGGCGGCGCTCACCATCTTGAGCCAGTCCTGCTCGAGGACGGAGACAACTACCCTACAGAACTCCCTGTAGTTCTCGTTGACGGTGGACCGTCCCAGGCCGAACAAGTTGGCGATGGTGCGGTCTTCTGCGCTCGAGCACAACTTGTACAGCGCGGCACCAACTCTCTTTTCCACCGGAATGGTGGAACGCATGTTGGTAACTTCGCGCTCCATGTGAGGCCGACACACGTCTACCAGGTACCTAAACGTAACCGGCTTGACGCGGAAGGACTGCTTGAAGAAGTGCTCCGGCAAGTGCGGTAGAGTGTCCTCAAACCAGCGTTCGTTCCTCCTGAACGCTTGGATGCTTCGTGGGATGATACTTGACGCTTCAACGGCAGCGAACATCAGGTCGTTGGAAAGGAGCCTTTCTTGAAGGCGGACGCTTTCTGCACTGGCAGATCGTATGTCGGCCCTCAGCAGCGTCAAGGCATTCTGTTGTTGTGCGTACAAACACGCCAGAAAAGCAATCCGACGCTCCGGATCCATCGCACTACGATCACTGTCGTCAGCAGGCTCCATCGCTACAGCGTCACGGTCTTCGCTTGATCGATCGCAGACGTAAACGTCAACGGGGTATACGAATCCGGCGAAGAACGAAAGTGCGCGAGGAACAACGGCGAGCAAGATGCGCGGAGTTCCGAAAGCAGACGAACCAAGCGGCGGAACGGATACGGCTACGGATTAATTGGGATTGCTGACGTCGTGTCATAGTTGCCACAGAATACCTTGTCTCCGTCAAAACGCCTACTTCGTTTCATCTCCGTGTTTGCATTCTATGTTCTGAGAGTTTATTACATTTTATTTACTTAGTAAACAATAAAATAAACACTAGTTTGCCGGGTTAACAATAATACAAACGCTACATTTTTAGGTTAACAACAGACCGCTATCGTGATAGACATCACCCAAATGACATTTGAGTTTCCCGTCTGAACACGACACGACTTAAATGTCATTTGAAAATCCTAAAGGCCTTTAGCGTAAATGACATTCGAGGTGCCCGTCTGACAGGGGTATAAGTCGGATGCCCAGCACTTTGGAGCACCCAGCTGCCACGCGCAACGCGGTAGCGGCGCCCCGAAGAGCACTTTCGCCGTTTCTAACCACTCAGCCTGGCCGCACAACCTGACGCTCGCTAGATGGCGCTAGAGTATTCGAAATTGCGCTACTCACGATAAATGGCTTGGCTATAACTTGGTGAATTGTGGAGGCTGAGGCCCACGCGGCCCAATAAAAGCGTCGGAGCTAGGTACGCGAAAGCATTCCGAGGCCACTGCCCGTCCAACGAGGCCTCGTCACGTATACCGTGACCTAATGTCACGTGCCTCGCTCCGACGCTCTAATTGGATCGCGGACGCCGTAGCCTAAACAGTTCGCCAAGTTATTATGAAACGGAGAATTTAGTACGGGCGGAGACATTACACGGTCAGATTGTAGGCGCACGCCATTTCAGAGAAACGGATGCAATACCACAAAAGAAGAACTTCGAAAAGACGTCCTCTACAGACTACCAATAGACCGATTTCACTAAGCGTTCCAGGCATCCGTGACGCCGTCATAGTTGTAGTTCATAGGAGGCAGGCTCTAGTTCATGAGGCTGCTAGTGCCGCTTCGTGCTCTGCCTGCGCAATCCCTCAACGGGGTTATCCCTCGTGCGGAAAGACTACAGTTCCCATGATGCATGGCGGCAGTGGTGGAGTATTCAAACTGGCTAGCCGTGAGATCGGTTTACTCCTTTTCTACGTGTCACACTGCATATCATTACGATAGACATTGCTGCTCGTTAAAAGCGCCATCAAGATATATTGCATCGTAGTAGGCGGAATTTCTAAACACGCAACCTTTTTAACAATGCTAATTACAACGAACATAAATGCAATTTTAAGCCAAATTATCACCTCGCCGAGATTTTAGAATCCTCGAAAAATATATTTTTTGTTGATATTTCTGATGACATTGAACTCCGCTTGAAGAGAAAATCCCGATCTAACACATGTGCAGGCTGATCAGTACAGTTTTGTCGCGCGGACCGTACTAATGGTTGTGCAACTTACACAAAGCTGCAATTTATAGGGTAAACAATGCGCTAGTCTCAAAGTCAGTCAGTTGGTTGTATTGAGTAAGTACCAAAATGTTTTTACATCTTTTAGCGCATGCAGAGAAATATTTCACAAGCGAGGATGGCCAGTTACAAGACGGAGGAAAACGAGCGACCAACAATCATTCCTGAACACAGCAACATCAGCGTCTGGAATATGCTCTCCTTTTCTTTGGACGGCAGGGTAAGTCATCACGAAACTTGAAACTCAATGGCGAAACATTATTAGATCAACGTGCGAATGTAACAAGGGACATAGATAAAAACTTGCGGTTAGGGGTGAGTGAGTCGGCAAGGCCACATTGGGCTTCTTATATTTTACTCTCGATATCTCGTACCTTCGGCATAGAATCTTTGAACTAAGGCGATACTTACTTTGCAAGGTCATTTTGCCCTCCTATCTATTATACTTGGTATAAGTATAAAGTAAACACGAATCTTCTAGAAATACGGAGAAGCTGTCGCATGCGGTTTGGAACAGTTCGTAAGTTGCCTCCTCGCCAATAGGGCGAGGACATCGAACTATAGG